GCTGAAGGAGGCCCACTTGTGAACAAAGACACTGCTCAAGAGTTTATGAAGAAAGTGACAGGAGAACAGCAATATGAAGAGACAACGGGATGCCAGAGTTGAGGAAGAGGACTATGCTGAACTCTAGCTTCAGATTTCCTCTCCTAGATTTACAGTACAGTATTTAAACAAGACACGTGATCTGCAGCAATCATGGGTGTGTGAGAGATTTGGGAGGTTGTTTTGAAAATGAGATAATGTGGAAGTGTCAGGGCACAGCATAAAGCAGTAATCACGTACTAGCAGATGGGAGTGCTCATGCTTGACTGAACAGAGTATACTGTCATCCGGCCTCACTATTAAGCTATAAAAAAACCACATACCATAATCATATTGCCATCATCATTAAAACAGTAGGGTATTGACCTCATTTCCTCTCTCTAATGGTTTTCCAATTGTTTTCTGACCATCTCTCTGATTGTTTGAATAGATTATCTGTGTGTTTTAGGCTCAGAGAGAAGAAAAGGCCATTGGAGCATCATGTGCTCTGATGATTAACCGAGAGGTACATTTTCAAAACTTTGTGTAATGTGATAAACTGCAATATTTTAACATATCTGAAAGCATGCATGCTCTTAAATAATGGTTTTAGTGTTTTAAGTTTATGAAGTACAATAAGCAATGCCTTTAATAGTTCTATCAAAAAGGATATATGCTTAGACCATCTGTTTCAACGACAAGACACGTGATCTGCAGCAATCATGGGTGTGTGAGAGATTTGGGAGGTTGTTTTGAAAATGAGATAATGTGGAAGTGTCAGGGCACAGCATAAAGCAGTAATCACGTACTAGCAGATGGGAGTGCTCATGCTTGACTGAACAGAGTATACTGTCATCCGGCCTCACTATTAAGCTATAAAAAAACCACATACCATAATCATATTGCCATCATCATTAAAACAGTAGGGTATTGACCTCATTTCCTCTCTCTAATGGTTTTCCAATTGTTTTCTGACCATCTCTCTGATTGTTTGAATAGATTATCTGTGTGTTTTAGGCTCAGAGAGAAGAAAAGGCCATTGGAGCATCATGTGCTCTGATGATTAACCGAGAGGTACATTTTCAAAACTTTGTGTAATGTGATAAACTGCAATCTTTTAACATATCTGAAAGCATGCATGCTCTTAAATAATGGTTTTAGTGTTTTAAGTTTATGAAGTACAATAAGCAATGTACGCTATAAATTTGAATTTGGCACAATCGAAGCCACAGATTATTTCAAGATGAAATTGATCACCACAGTGTTTTCAAACACCTTTGAGGCATTTAATGTGTTAATGTGGAACAGATGTATGTGCATATGTGCACGAGTGAGAGAAAGAGTCTCGCAGCAGTCTGTTTGCCAGGTCTTCACTATGTCCATCATCTTCCTACCAGTTCGTCCATCTGTAATCTAAATGGATAACTAGTCCATTCAAACACACATACACAGACACAGGCTTTGGAAAAGCCAATTTGGGAACATGCTTAATCTTTTCTGTTGGGGTACAATGGAAATTGTGTGTGTGTGACATTTCTGTGCAGAGGACATGGGGCCATAGAAACTTCTGGATTGCATTATTTCTTCAAATAGCAGAATCACTTTCCTCAAAGTAACGGTTTATCGGTGAACCAGATGCAACAGAATATCCCTTTTTTCAAAATATTTAGAAATATATTGCATGCTTGGTGTTGTATTCATCCTTCCCCAGTCTTCTGTCAGCCACATGTCAGGCTTTTGGATCATGTCTCATTTTGTAAGTCAGAAGCAGATGACCTTTTTCTCACCCTCTCTCACTGGACTGAAAGGACCCTCTAGCTGTCCATCAGACACCCCTTTCACTAACTGATGAATTGGGACTGGCATCCATCCCCCCTTCCCAAATGGGCGATGTCCTGTTAGAAGGGTTGTACACGTGGGGCGAAACTCAACCGGGCTAAATGAGAGATTGTCACTCATCCTAAACTCACTCTTACCTGTCAATCATTATGACAAATGAGAATTACATCATCAGGCGTCTTGAGGGAGGGAACCCTTGGGGGTGCCATGGATTCACATGCATATGCATGTGTTTGCGTGTATGTTTGTGTACTTAAGGCATATCAGCCCTAGTGGCTGATGTTGTAACTACACCCTGTGTTATTAAAAAATCTTTGTTGCCATTAAGATTTTTTTTCCCACACAGTAAACAGTATAGATTGCTAATTTTATATTGTAGTAGTTGTTTTACCAGTGTCCTAATATTTTTGGAAGACTCTTAAAGTGTAAAATGTATTTACTGTATATTTCTCTCTGTCTTGCTTTGATGTCGCAACTTTGCATAGGTGCTAGTGAATGTTTTGGAATTTTGCATTTCTTGTGATGTAGTCAGCTGATCACTGTTGTATTTTTTTCTTCTGCAGCTCCATAGTGATTGGTCACGTGACGATCAAGTGATCATCTCTTAAATTTGTTTGATTATCTTCATGATGAACATTTTTCATCTAGTCTTTGTTACCATTGCCAAAACAAACACTTCAAATCAACAAACATTTTTTTTTGCAGTAATTAAATTGACAATGTTAACACTTGAATCAATGAATCTGTATTAAATGTGATAGCATATTTTGATTATTGGAATAAAAAAACAGAATTGCATAACGAGAGTGTGAATTTTTCCAAATTAAATAGCACATTTCACACAGGAAATAAATATGGCAAAGCTGATGACCTCTGCTGTCTTTGAATCAATCAGAGAATGAGCTCTTAAATATTATTCTGACATGCTTGTCATTATTGGAGCAATGTAAATGATCAAGTTACGGTCGTTGATTAGAATATTTTTCTACACAGAGCGGGTCAATTTTCTGTTTGTGAAGCACACTTATTATCTCAGTCTCCAACACATTCAGCTTTTTTCCACTGCTCCTTTATTACTATCAGATGCTTTCTGATTGTGGTGTCTGTTCTTAAATGAGATTTAATAACATAGCAGATTTTTGCCAGCTTTAAAGCACTGACCTGTGAAAGGATATCCCGTTCCATACGCAACTACTTGTTGGTTGAGTAATCGTCTTCTCTCCAATTTCTCAACTGTGTCTTTGGTTGCTCTTTTTTTCAGTGGTGTTCAAGCATGGACGAGATAATCAAGGAGGCGCTCTGACGAGGCTGTGGATGAGAAAATCATACGGGAGGTAAATCTGGAGACCAAATGTTGTTTTGGTCTTGTTGTGCTTGTAAAGAGGCAAAATTACAAACATAAGAAAGCAAGACTGAGGTCAGAAATGGGAGTCCGTTGGTCTGAACAAGAGTGAGAGCAAAAACAGCATGAAAACAGAAGGATGGGAAAGGGAGAATGTTCATTAAGATGATGTAAATCAATAGAGCACAGCAGTAAAAATCCTGTTCAATTTCTCCATAGAGAATTTATTTTTTGAAGAAATAATGTATGCATTTTTTAAAACAGACCTAATATGCGCTGCTACTTCTTCTTCATCGTCTTCTTTTCAATTCCAAGTGAAGAAATACACTACCCATAATCCTCAAGCGAGATACATTAATTTGAGTAATTGTTACCATGGCAACTGGAGGCACCAAAAATAAATAAATAATTGTGTGTAATTATATTAATTAGAGTTTTATATTCTCCAAAAAATCGTTATTCAAAAACTTTTCTTTATGGACAATAACATAGATTT